GAAGGCCAAGGACATCCCCCCAACTCCGGCCCCGGCAGGACGGCGGCAGCAGCGGGGTTGTCCTGCAGCCGGGGCCATGCTCGGCTGCCAGAGCCAGCACAACACCCGCCCAAAGGGCCACTGACTTCCTCCTCACCTGCCTGGGGGGCCCAAGGCATCTTCCTCTTCCTCGCAGCCTCCTCCTCCATCCGCCCAAGCTTTGGGAAGGACAAATCCTGATGGGGGAAGGGAAAACAAGGGCTGAGCGTGTTGGCTTGGAGGTTCCTCCTGCCCAAGTCCATCTCTAGAACTCACCGGGCATCCTGTTACCATAAAAAACTCCAAAACACCAAGATTCAGCCCAGAAAAACCCAAACCATCGAGATTCAGACAAAAAACCTCCTCAGAAATAGCAAGAAGACCCTCGCCCCCCCCAAAATTGCAAAAAGTTGAGACTCAGCTAAAAAATATTCCAAATTATGAAGATTAGCCCAAAACATCTCTCCCAAAAGTTCCTCCTCTCTGGTCTCTTCTCTCTGGGGTTCAGAGGGTTTCCCCTCTCTGGGATGCTGGGGGTTTCACTTAGGGATGCTGGGATTCTTGGGGGTCCCAAGGGTCCCTTCTCTTCTGACTCTCGCCTTCGGGCTGCCACATTCCCCGATATTCCCCCTCTCCAGGTTTTCCACTTTGTTGTCCTGGGAATCCCAGGGGTCCCCACTGTCCAGGCTTCCCCTTCTCCACGTCCCCTGTTTAAGGCTCCCGGGGGTCCTCCCTCTCTGTGCTCCCCCCTCCAGGCTGCCGGGGGTCCCCCAGCTCCGGCATTGCCCCGCTCTGCCCTCCACACTCAGCACCTCCCGGGCTCCACACCCACCCCCAGCACTCCCAGGGCGCCCCAAAACCGCTGTGTCCCCCCTGCTGGCACCGGGCTGACAATGGAGCCGGCGGGGCCTGACCCAGCAACACCAACCCCCACCATGGGGGGGACCCGCACAAGGGCCGGCTGTGCCCAAAGCAACCAAACAGCCCCACAGGTGGGGGGACACCAGAGGCTGCCCCAGGGCAACAAGAGCAGGGAGCAGATCGGGCCCCCTGACACGTGGACGGGCTCTGGGTTCAGCCTGACCAGGGGCAATTTGGCACAAACAACACGGCCCCGACTGCTGGCTCAGCACAGGGGGCCCGAACTTTCCCCTACTCCAGGCTCTCGGGGCTCTTGCAGTTACCCCTCTCTCCAGCCTCCCCTACTCTCCAAGGATCAAGGCATGGCGACACCAAGGCACCCCCACTGCACATCCGCTCCCGATCTCCCCCCTCCCATTAGCCCCCCTCTCACCCCTTTCCCGGGCTGTTCCCTGGTGTGGATGCGTTTGTGTCGGATCAGGTGGGAACTCCGGCTGAAGCTCTTCCCACATTCCCCACACCTGTAGGGCCGTTCTCCAGTGTGGATGTACTTGTGCCGGATCAGGTGGGAGCTCCGGCTAAAGCTCTTCCCACATTGCCCACACAGGTAGGGTCGTTCCCCAGTGTGGATGTGCTTGTGCCGGTTCAGGTGGGAGCTCCGCCTGAAGCTCTTTCCGCATTCATGACAGATGTAAGGCCATTCTCCAGTGTGGATGCGTTGGTGGATGCGGAGGGTGGACCCAAGCTTAAAGCTCTTCCCGCATTCTCCACACGTGTAGGGCCGTTCCCCAGTGTGGATCATCCGGTGTTTGCGGAGAGTGGAGCTGTCACTGAAGCTCTTCCCACATTCCCCACACGTGTAGGGACGTTCCCCAGTGTGGATCTGCTGGTGTCGGATCAGGTCGGAGCTCAGTCTGAAGCTCTTCCCACATTCCAAGCACCTGAAGGCCTTCTCCCTACTGGGAGGCTGCTCAGGAACCACCAGGTCACAGCTCCCCCTCAAGCTCCGGCCGCCTTCCCGGCACAGGCTGGGTCTTTCCTCC